CCCCAAAACCCCAAAACCCCAAAACCCCATGGAGAAGGTACTAGTCACTAAGGGGAAAATAAAAGTATAAATAATTCTAGTCTATTTAGCTTAAATTATCATAATTAAAATAGACCGAATACGATGATTTCATTCGCTTAAATCAATAAACCTTCCTTCCTAAAATCTTTTGTCTATCCATTTTCAATAGACTATGAGACAAACTAGCATCAAATTCTTATGCTCTTCAACAAGGCAACAGATTCCTTTGAAGACTTTGGAGATGAATTCAACGATTTGGTAGATGGAAACATATTTCAAACTTTATCGAGGTCTTTAATGGCAAAAAGCTTTAATCTATTGGTCCCCTCAATCTTCAAAAAAAGAATGTCAGAAAAATTGATAAGTGATACTGTGCATACATTCAAAGAATAGACTGTCGATCAAATTATGGACTCTTCTTATATCAGAGAAGTTTATGGAATGATAACTTCGCATGAAACAATTAAAATTTTGGGTAACGAGATTTTGACTGTGGCTTTTAAGATTCCATAAATCGATTTAAATTTAATCAACAAAGCTATAAAGGAAAACCTTTAAAATTAATAAATATATGAGTTCATTTGGCTGACTCTTGATCAAATTCACTTCTAGACAGATGATATTATTCATCATCTCTCAGGAATACATGTTGAAAACCTCCTTAAAATTTCAGACCAATTGAAAATTGGATCAGAATTTAATATCCAAGAAACTTTTGAATAAACTGAGAAAAATTAAGAGAAAATAGAGAAAGCTGAGTAACCAGCTGAATATGCTATCATTTTATATGATGAAAGAGAGCATTATTAAAATGTGTACGAGTCTCTATTCATGGGTAACTTCATTTCTAATAACAATGAAAAATGGACCTTTTATAAAGCCTATGATTTGGAATTTCCAGATGAAAAAACCCTTAAGAATTTAAAAGGTATCATTTTACCAGGTAGCAAATACTCAGTGTATGATGAATCATTAACTTGGATTGAGCCCTTGAAGGATTTCGTCAGAAAAGTTTACTACGACTATCAGAATATCAAGCTAGTTGGTATCTGCTTTGGTCATTAATTAATAGCCCACAGTTTGGGTGGGAAAACTGAGAAAATGAAGCAAGACGTATCAAATTGTATGTATATTGGCAAAGAAGAAATTAAGCTTTAAAATACTTTCTTTGAACTTCCTTTTGTTCAAAAAGTGCTAGAAAATGTAGACATAAGCAATATCAGAATTAACCCTCTTATTTTAAATGCTGTTCATTAAGACCACGTCATTACTTTGCCTCAAGATGCAATTTGCCATGGATCATCAGAAAGAACAAATGTTGAAATTTATACAATGGGAGATAGAGTCTATAGTTATTAAGCACATCCGGAATTCAGCTACTATCATATGAAAGAATTTGTAATTAATAAACTATTCACATGGGGAAGGCTAAGTGAATCAGAAAAAGAGACCTTATAAACAGAGATCTCTGACGACAGACTCTTAATGAGACAATTCATTCTAAAAACAATCAAAACATTCATTAAAAGTGAGTATTGACATTGAACTTAATAGACTGAAAGCAAACTTGTAAAAATCTTATTAAACAAATCACACGATGAACTAATATTATTATTATTCTCATACTTATTAAACTTAGAATCCTAAATTAAATAAAATTTCAAAACACTTCTTATTAAGGTATCATGACCAAATGGGGTTTTGGGGTTTTGGGG